TAAAATATTTTAAATATTAACTATTATTTATAATAATAATATCTTAATATTTAATAAAATATTTTGTGATTAGACGGTTAAAATTAAACAATTATAATCATCACAATATGACGCAACATTATCATCTCAGGTATATCTTTTATATCATGATTCTGCAATGTACTATACTGACAAAGCAAAATATATACTTTCTTTCGACACTTCTAGACCAACATTCTAATACAGCGTCTGTGTTTTCATGTTACCAGCCAACAAATTAATAATCAGTGTAGACAAGATGACGAGTCCTATTCAATCAAATCCCTTCAGACTTCCTTGCGCATTCCCAGTGGCGACTGAATTACGGCGAATGTTAAGTATACACAATCATATAAAAACGAAAGCACGCTACTCAGTCTGAAAGCAGGTGGTCCTTCAAAGACAGGCAGACGGAACGATACTCGGATTTACAAGAGGCTAAGCGTACGGAGAAATTATTTGCAATTCCATCACAAACGAAAACTGTTCATATTGCTAGGCATTGTATGTGTACTGTTAACTTCATATAGTTCCAAAATGAAAAACTGATTCAAAGCGTATTCCACGGTCAATACAATTTATGTCTTTAAGCATGCCACTTACTGATGAATGTGTGTACAAACTTGTAAGTGCAGTGAAGTCAAGCGTTAATACGGAACTCACAGAGGAAGTACTGTCTGCATCTTAACTGTCATCAATTAATCAACCTCAGCCGCGGGGCCTCGTAATTTAACTCTGCTAATCGCCGCTGAAAGGGAAATACACATCCGCCCCCCAATCAGAAATCGCTAAGAACCGCACAACGAAAGGCATTTCTCTGAGCTATTTCAAATGTTCTTTCACGAAAGGTCAACCAAAAGGTTAAATTCAGTCAGAGAAGACTTAACGATTTCCACCCCCAAAAAACCACACAAACTGGTGATCTATATTACTTACCCCCGTCAAAGAGTCCCCACGCTGATTTATCTTCAAGAAACAGACGTTGAAAGTCTGGAAACAAGAAAACTGAGGTTAGTGTTACATCGTTGGAGAAGTAAAAGAGAG